AGAACAAAATGCCTTCGTCATACTAAGCTTGAAGAATGCCAAGTACAAACATGCAATCAAAGATAATCAAGGGAATCATACATACTATCTATCGATGGCATCAACAAAAACAAAAAAGTACCAATGGGCAATACCTTTGTCCCAATGAATGATCCTTGCCTGTTCGAAACAGACTTGATTCAAACTTATCTTGATGTAGAAGAATGCATTTTAGTACTGACTGATCTACCTCAAACTGCTTGAGAGACATTCCCTTGTTATATTCTCTCATCAATATCTTGATTTCCCAGACTTACTGCCTTAGTTTCACTCAATTCAAGCCTCAGGTTATTTCAGAATGCGTGAATCTTTACTTGTTTCCTCAATGTTTCCTTTTATCATATTCAAAACCGTGTCATTGCTTCATGATTAGACTAACTTTGAAGACCAGGCTGAGAATTATGCGTGCATGTCATGTCACTAGAGTCAGACTGAAAAGGACTATAAAAGGAAAAGTAACCTAAACAAAAACTGACCAGAACTAACAGAAAATCGGAGATTGCATTAGACAGATGGTGAACAGGGTTTGAACACAACAGGCAAAATAGACATTGGTTACAACCCTAGAACAGTCCTATATAACACTAGACGAGTTACTACCACTAAACGAACTAGGCAACATAAGATGAAGGGTTTGAGCCACAAGACAAAATTCGGATTACAACCCTGAAATAACCTGTACAACCAAAATGACAACAAAATAAACTACCAAAACTCCTCCCTGGCTAGCCAAGAAAGGAGTGTCTTTCCAATTACCAAGCTTGACATCTTAGCCACTGGACTGCACATCAAAATTACTGGGACCTTCACCAGTTTCAATATCATTAACTTCAGTCAGCAAGTTCCCAAGAGGATTCTCATACTCCATGTCACCATGCATCCTCCCCACAAAGTGTGCATCATCATGTGCAGGTAAAGAATTTTGCGCAATTTTCTGGGTGTCATTGTCTTGGATCACAATTATCCCTTCTTGAATCATTCTTTCTATCTCTCTTTTCAAATCCCAACAACTTTCGACATTGTGCCTCTGGGCATTGGAATGGTATTCACACCTTTTAGAAGGATCAAAGCTTCTTGCACGTAGGTCTAGATGATTAGGAGGAATAGGTGCAATTAGGTTATAATACTTTAATTTCTCAAACAAGCTTGCATAGTACTCTCCTATCGGTGTAAAATTATCTTTCAACCTTTGTTTACCTCTATACCCCTGGCTTGGAGGTGGGTTATGGGGCACTTGCAAATTTTGTGGAGGCTGGTGGAAATGTTTCGGTGCTAGCGCTCGCCTTCTGGGGTGTCTTGGTGGTTGGACAATATACTGGGGTGGAGCAACAGAGTATTGTGGGTTCTCAAGGAAATCGTCAAAAAACAAACGAGGTTGGTCATGCCTTCAAAATGTTCTTCTAGGACTTCTTCTCGACCTTGATGTCATCATGATTTCTTCAACCTTCTCACCCGTGCCACTAAAATTACCAGATTCAATTTGGACATCCTGAGTTGCATCTTTGAGACCTGCTTGACTTATAATTCTGCTTGTCTTAAGTCCATCCTCTATCATTTCTCCCATTTTGATTGCTTCTGAGAATGATTTGCCAATTGCGGACATCATATTTTGAAAGTAATCAGGCTATTGAGTCTGAATGAAGACAATGATTAACTTGTGGTCATCCATGGGTGGCTTAACTCTAGCTGCTTGTTCTCTCCATTTAATTGCGTATTCCCTAAAACTTTCAATTGGTTTCTTCTTCAGATTTGAAAAGGAATTACGGTCCGGGGCGATGTCAATGTTATATTGGAACTGTTTGACAAAGGCCTGGGCCATGTCATTCCAGACATACCAGCAAGATGTGTCTTGACCCATAAACCATTCGGAGGCTACACCCGTAAGGCTTTCCCCAAAATAAGCCATCAGTAATTCTTCATTTTCTCCCGCACCTCTTAGTTTATTGCTATACCTTTTCAGGTGGGCTATGGGGTCTCCATGTCCATCATACTTTTCAAATTTGGGAGTCTTGAAACCAAGTGGCAAACGAACATCGGGGAACATACATATATCCTTGAAGGCAATACTCTTCTGACCTGCCAACCCTTGCATGTTTTTCAACTATTGTTCTAAGCTTTTCAGTCTTTGGGTTATTTCTTCCGATGCTACCTTTGAGCCAGACTTCTCAATCTTTCCAGGAAGATCAAATTGGTAAGAGTGGTACTCAGGAGAGTGGTATTGTTCTTTCTAGGTAGCAAATTGTGACTCATGAGTTTTCTTTTGCACCACTGCTGGCTGTGGGATGGTGAAGACATGCATAACTGTAGTGGTTGTCTGATTGGTTGTCAATGGCACACTTTGGGAGTACGCAACAGAAGTTCCAGCTATAGTCGTACAATTGGGATAAAGGCTGAACCTAAATGGATAGAATTGATCAGACAATGAAACTGGAGTGGTAGTAGTCGAGATGGGTGTAAACTCTGGGACAACATGAGAAAGGGGTGGTCCTTGACCATTGGCCCATGCTTGACACATTTCAGACATTTGTTGTTTCCGCCTTTGGACCTCCTCGTTCAATTAGGATTCCGACTCCACAATCTCCCTTGAGGGGTCGACAACTCCTATATCCAAGTCTTTGCTAGCCATGACTTGCTTGATTTTTGAACTTGTGTCGTATGGACAAATCACCAAAGTGCCATGAACTAACCACCCTCTGTTATAATAAAAGTAACAAAGCGGAGCAAAACAAATCCAATATGTTAGCGTTAGGACATTTATCAGATAGAAATATCACATTGCGCGAAATTCCCCTAGCAACAATTAATGGCTCTAGAATGAATTCGAGGGTCACAAGGTCATTTGGCATCATCTCAATTTTGTTCATTTCAATGTTCTCTTTTCTTTCTTTTCTAATACTTCTTGGCTCGCTCATTTTTCTACCTCTATTTTCTTTTTAATCGTCATTCTTTTCTTTCCTCTCATTTCTCACATCCCACAACTTTTCCTTCTTTTTTCTTTTTTCTTTTTTGATAATGATTCGATCGAACCCTATGTAGGTTGCCTACGTATCATTCCCCTCATGAATCAGATCAAGCGTAGTTTTGGAAAAAGTGATGGACAAATAAACTAAAAATAAAAATCTTTTTGAATTTTTCATTTATAATTTTTTTCGATTTTCAAATACAAAACAGGAAGTCGATAATGAGCGACTCGACAAACTAAACTATACTACGACAACTCTGACACCAACTAAATGATTGAATACTACTGTACAAGACTAGGAAGTAAAACATGAACAATAGACTCAAAAACATAAAAAGGCTCCTCAAGCAGCTCCTGAATGCAGTGGTCCTGGGGTATCTGTCATGCTTGAGTCCTGGTACATGGATCCACAACTGAATGAGAAAAATAAGACTAAATAAATCAGTGACTCAAGACACTATGCGACACCACAACACCTCCTGTTGGACACATGCAAGACACGATTAGGCTATTTTTTTGAAAATTAACCTACGTGGCCGAGAGTGGCTATAAGTGCAAAATAAACAAGGGTGACTACTCAGATATGGAAATACCTCACTAAGGCTTACATGGATTCACACTCCCAATAATCATGGCCCGAAATTAATTTGCAGAAATGACCCACTTTACAAAAACGATCAATATGGCCAGAAGCGGCCAAAGATGCAAACTCAGCAAGGACGGACCTTAAAGTAATATGACACCTAGTTGTGGACTCAAGATCCTAAGACATGGGTTATTGAACCACTTTTGCAAAAATGACCCCATTTTGCGAGAATGACTGATGTGGCCAAAAGTGACTAGTCATGCAAGATTTGGCTAAGACCCCACGAAGCCAAGAACCTAAGATTCACTAATAATACCAGACCCTATGTGGGTTGCCTACGTATCACGTCCCGAAAGACGAGAATCAGGTTCGCGTAGTTCGGGAAGATTGTATATGGGAGAAAGCTTAAAAATGACACTAATTTGGAAAAAATATATTTTTTGTCTTTTTGAAAAATGATGGATAATGTAAAATCTTTTTGGATATTTTTTTTTTGATTTTTGGAAATTGATGGAAAAGTGTAAAATCTTTTTGGATTTTTCACTTTTGTATTTTTTTGGCTTTTCTTGAAAAAGTTGTGAAAGAAAAATATAACTGGGCCCTACTTGCTTCATTTTTCATCCTTCTTTCCCAAACATCAGTCCGCCAAATGACCTTTTTACCCTCAAAGATGCAACATGTATCACATAGGGATGATTGAATGTCTTTTTGGGCCACGGGCCCATTTTTGACAAAATTTGGATAGGCTTCCTACAAAGGGACACGGTGCCTGGGACCGAGCCCTACTAGGTCCAAATGACATGATGCAAATAAGAATGACCTAAAGGCTGACCTAAATGTGGGGTTCACTAACAAGGCAATTCGGGGCGGCACGTGGTCGATGTCGACTGCTCTAGCTGTCCGCCCACTCCACGCTCCCATGCCACCCCCCTAAAGACACGGGTGACTCACAAAAAAGGTCGTGTACGCTCAAACGTACTCCAGAAGACTTGTTGCAGAAAAAAGACCCATGGTTAAGCAAATGATGACAGTTTATAAAGCAGTAACACATTAAGAAAAGCGATACACAAATAACCAACAAAACTAGGAAATAAGACAAACAAAGCAAATAAACAAAGCAAACAAAGAAAACAAACACCTCAACTGAATATCCTAAAAGCCAACAAGATCAAGTACCAGCTCGAACCTGTAACTCCCTAGCAGAGTCGCCAGAGATGTCACACCCTTTTTTTTAAGAAACCTTCACTAAACCCTCTTAAATAAATAAAAAGATTTAGTAAAGCTTGAAAAGGATATTCAATTAGAAAGTGACAAAAATTTGTGTTTAAAAGGATTAACTCAGAGTCGCCACCTGACATTTGATTTCGGTGTGTCAAGTCACCGTTTTTTCTAAAATATTTGTTTTTCCTTTCAAAACACTTGAAACTCCAAAACTAAATCTGCACCAGAGATTCGGGTAAGGGGGTTCATTTGACTCGGGGAGAAGGTGTTAGGCACTCCCCAAGTCCTGTAACTAGTACGGTTTCATACTTGATCAAGTCGGCTTTTAAAATATTCGAATTGAGGTAATAACACACAAAAAGAAAATAAACAATCAAAAGAGGCTCGAGGTCATCCCCACCTAAATGAAAGGAAATTAAAAGAAGAAAAATTAAAGTTCTAAATTATCCTACGCTATTTCTTCTACGATGTTTGTTCCTGCCTCTAATTACATTCACTTCGGGGCATACCCCTGAAATAAAATATATACAAATCTCTCGGGGCATTCCCCGAGTAAATTTAACTAAGGGAGCAGCCTCTCACCTCAAAACTAACAAAACTCCTAAGGCTTGCCTCCCCAAGGGTGGTTGGCCTAAGCATGTTCCTAGCGAATAATAAAATAAAATAAACAAAATAGAACTAAATAAAATGAAAACTCAATTCATGCTCATGCGTTAACAACCTAAAATATGCTTCTTACGATCAAAGGGAATAATGAAAGTAATAAACGTTTTTTAGTTTAGTCCAAATTGTTTTGCTTTAGAATTTCAATCCCCCATAGTGCATTTACAATTAATCATTACTGGCCAACATTTTTTTTCTTTATGTCTTTCATTTTTCACTTTATCAACAATAACAAAATAATGAAAAATTAGTTCAAACCAAGGAAAATCAGATATCAAGAATCAAACAACCAAATTTAAACTCACAAATGCAATTTTATAACCAAGAAAATACAAGTAAAACAAGATTAGCATGATCCGTTAAACTCAAGAAATAAAAATGTGAGAAGGGGACCTCTGAAAGCGAATCCGGACTTGACTGTTTTGAAGCTCCCAAAAGGATAGGGGCGTGACCAAGACCACGAACGGAATTTGACAAACGGCGGACTGACCGAACCTCACCGGAGAAATTCAAATCTTGTCGACGAACCCGACCTCTACTCGACCCAGAAAACACCGAAGCTCAAAGGCCTGACCGGAATTTATGGTTGATGGGCTGACAGAAAGCTTATGGGTCAAGATTTATTTTTAAGGACAAAGATTAATGGATTTCAATTTCTATTATGTTCTTTGCTCGTTTTCACTTTTATGTTTTTGTTTTCCAATATCCCCATGTGTGTGTGCGTCAATGTTTCCGCCTTTCCATGTGTGTGTGTGTGCTTTTATTGCTGTCTCAGGCGACGGGAGAGGCGGGGAAGATGGATTTTTTGAAAGGGGTGGTTGCTGGTTTGTGAAGGTTGAAGGTTTAAGGGGGTTCTGGTTTTTTGGCATTCAAGAGGTTGAAGAAGAAGACGGGCGATGGGTTGTCCGTTGAGTTCTGCCGCTGGTCTCCTCTTTTTTTGGGTAGGGATTTTTTTAGTCTTGGTTCGAGAAGAAGATGAAAAAAGGTGTAGTCTTTAATGTACTAGGGTTGAGTTGGGCTCTAAATCATGGGCTAGGGTTGAGTTGGGCTCTAAATCTACCAAATTGGGCTAGGAAAATGCTGGAAATTTAATTTGCTTTTTAAAAATACTTATAACAAGGTATAAAATAACTCTCAATTGATTTTAATAAACTATTATATTTAAAATAAAACTACAAATTAAAGTTGAAACTATTTTTGGCATTTTCAAAGATTATATTAAAATAAAATAAAAATAGGTTCAAAGTAATATATCCTTCTAAAAATATCTAATACGTGAATTAAATAGAGAAATATGGAACTATTTTTTGTATTTTCAATTTTTGTTCTTAAAATAAAGTAAAATAGTTAAAACTAGGTAAAATAACAATATTAGGCCTAAACTACATATCTAAAAGCTAAAAAGAATAAAATCTCGGGGAAAGTCAAAAATCGTATGTCTACACATGGTGAGCTGATGTGGAAGTTTATATGGAGAAACCTCCTGGGTTTGTTGCTCAGGGGGAGTCAAACTTAGTATGCCATCTGAAACGTTCATTATATGGCCTTAAGCAATCTCCGAGAGTATGGTTTGGAAGATTTAGCTCTGTTGTCCAATAATTTGGGATGTCTCGAAGTGAAGCAGATCATTCCATTTTCTATCTATATAATGGTCCAGAAAATAATATTTATCTGGTAGTTTATATTGATGACATTATCATAATTGGAAATGATCAAGAAGGAATATCTCAACTAAAGCAACATCTATTCAGTCACTTTCAAACCAAGGACTTGGGAAGTTAAAGTATTTCTTGGGAATCGAGGCAGCACAATTCAAGATAGGTATTACTATCTCACAAAGAAAATATGCTTTGGACATACTAGAGGAAACATGAATGTTAAACTTCAAACCTATTGACGCTCCTATGGATCCAAATGTCCAACTCGTCCCTGGACAGGGGGAGCCTGTTACACCCCAAGTTTTCATACGTGAGAGTACGTCGTAAGTCATTGATGTAAGCTCAGAAATGAGATTATATTTGGAAGAAAATAAAGTAAGTTAATCATGTTACCTTTGAGGTTACAAATATTTAAGATCATGAATAACGAGTACCAAGAGGGTTGGAAATCTTAGAAGCTAAACCAATTGAAGAAAATAAGTTTCGTCGAAAGTCGACAAGTTTGGAATGTTATAACATGTACTTTGGGGTGATACTAGGGTTCTTAACATGATAAGGAGGTTATTCTATGAGTTATTTTAGTCGTATGATATTCATTTTCTACATTTTGAAGGCAAGCAAGTTGTGGAACAAGAGTTGGCAAAGGTCATCACAAGTTACATTCATAAATTTGCTGAAATTTAGGTCAAATGTATCTGAGCATTTCTCCAAATATACTTGGAATCATGGGGTGTTATACCTACCAAATTGAAGATCTATGAGTCTAGTTTCTAACGCATTAAATCTTTCATCAATACGACATCGGAGTAGAGAGATATTTATGTTTTCGCGAGACCGCGCAAGCAGATCCCAATGGGACCCACTTAGGCGGTGGTTGACCTACTTCAATTTATAAACGATTTGGACGCCTATTTTTGCTCATTTTTAAACTAAAATTCGTCCCCAAACTTCTCCTAACCCTCCTAAACATATACAACAAGGGTTTGAAGTTATTCCAAAGTGATTTACACCATATTTCAACATCAAAACTTAGTTCTAGTGAAGAACAACACCTCTTTGAGGTTGTGTTGTTATTGAGGATTGTTGTGAGCTGTATTTGGATGAAATTCCAAGTTGTTGCTGCTGTATAAGGTGATTATAACATCCTACTAATTGTGCTTAAGCTTGCTTGTATGCTGGTTAAGTTGTTAGGATGATAAACTACAAGATAATACTTGGATTAGCTTAAGTCACTTCTATGGTGTTGTATTGCTATTAAGGGTTGTTGTAAACTGAATATAACTTGGATTTTGACTTGAAGTTACTGTATGAGGTATGTATATTGTGATCTTGCTTGTGCCTAAGGTTATCTTGATGTTGATTAAGTTAAATGGATGGGCTAGACATGAACTAGTGAATAAAGTTGCTAATTGAGGATAGTTGAAGTTGTGGATTATTTTCGTTATTATAAATATATGGTATAAGGTTAGAATCATTGATTAATTACTTCATTATCATATTAATGATACTTTTATGTTGAAGTAAGAAGTCTATAAGGATTGATAAGGGGTATACAGATTCCAATCGGAGCTTGCCGCTCGTCGTAATGTAGTTGTGACTTGTTGTTGTTATATGGTGTCTTGATATTGATAATTATGTATTGATGGATTGCTCTGGTCATTGTTGTTGATATATGGTATTGGAGGAGGCCCTTGTTACAAGGGAGATGCTGCCCAAATTTACGTAAACGAGCTACTAGCTTAAGTTATAGACTTAGCCTTTGCTCAGCACTGATTTTGAATCTCCTTATACTATGATAGATTGAGTTGACTTGTTTGAAGAGTTGCTTGGAAGTGATTAAGGACTCAACGGGTTTAAGGTATGTTAAGGCACTTTCTTCTTTCTTTTGGCATGATCTAAAGTGAAATGAATACGCTACTTCATAACGGATCTACTCCTAGCAACTAAGGTTGTCCATGTTGTTCTTTCCTTATAAAATTATTCTAAGCAAGTGTGTATGATCCTTGAATCCTACTAAGGTTCATATTGAGGGTATGGATGTCCATAGTGCTCTTAAGTCACTCCAAAAGGTTTAGAAGGTGATTCCATGAGTCTAGCATGCATTATATATAGTATCTATTTTACTCTACCGAGCCGCGCTATAGTCGGCCGGGTACAACACCTATTGTGCAACCACTGATCAGTTGGGTTTATCGAGCTCCACGTGGCCGGGTACGATTCTACCGAGCCTTATGATGGTCGGGTACGCTTTTACCGAGTCCTCTTTGAGGTTGGGTACGATATGATGATGATGATGATGCCCACAAAGGCGAATGTATTAAAAAGTTTATGTATATATATGTATTATGCATTTCATATCAGTAGCCCCCAGAGGCACTCAAATGTTACAGGTTGTATCTCATCTATCTCTCTCTTTACATTACTGTTTTGCTTTCCTGCCTTACATACTCGGTACTTTATTCATACTGACGTCCCTTTTGCTTGGGGACGCTGCGTTNTACTCATGATAGTATGATAAGAAAGATATGTTACGTTGGTACTCGGTTGAGTAAGGCACCGGGTTCTCGTCGCGGCCCTTCGGTTTGGGTCGTGACAGAGCCATGAATGACCCTGACAAATATCGAAAACTGGTCGGTAAACTAAATTATCTTACTATCACACGACCTGATATTTCATTTGCAGTAAGTGTAGTTAGTCAGTTTCTCCAAGCTCCGTGTAAAGATCATTGGGACGCAGTAATTCACATCCTAAGATACATCAAAAAAGCTCCAGGGCAAGGACTATTATATGAAGACAAAGGTCACACAGACATTGTTGAATATTCTGATGCTGATTGGGCAGGTTATCCGTCAGATAGACGATCTACTTCTGGGTACTGTATCATGATTGGGGGAAATCTAATCTCTTGGAAAAGTAAAAAGCAATATGTTGTTGCCAGATCTAGTGCAGAAGCAGAATATCGAGCTATGACCCTTGCTACATGCGAGCTTATTTGGTTGAAACAACTCCTCCAAGACTTGAAATGTGTCGAATTCAAATAGATGAAGCTTATATGTGACAATCAAGCTGCCCTTCATATTGCCTCTAATCCCGTTTTTCATGAAAGAACGAAACATATAGAGGTAGATTGTTATTTTATTCGGCAGAAGTTTGAGTCCGGATGCATTGCCACCAGCTTCGTCGGTTCAAATGATCAGTTGGCAGATGTGCTTACTACGTCCCTTAGAGGAACTCGGATTGAACACATTTGTAGCAAGCTTGGAGCATATAACATGTATGCTCCATCTTGAGGGGAAGTGTTAGATATTGTTAGAGAATATTTCAAATATAAGATTGTATGTCGGATAGATAGTCAAATATTGTAGGTAGAAGGCGTGATCTCGGGGATGCATTGTTGACTTATGTGTCTAACTTTTGTGTATATATTCTCGATGTAATTTATTATTTTAAGCATGAAGTGAAATACACTTACATCATTCACACGGTGAAATGCGAAAGGAGCAGGTAGACAATCAAAATACTAGTAATTCATACGTGATGTTTATGTTAAACCAAATAATTTAATTCTGAAGTTACAAATTAAAGTAACAACAAATATCATTTAACCCTAACAAATGTTTATCTAATATTATAATCATTGGAAGCTATTAATTAAGAGTAGTAGTTTCCTAGCAAGAGACTTGGTCAAATTAAATTTCATAACCCAACCGTCACGTCACGTATAAGGAGGCTAATACTAAGAAAAAACTAGAAATGAAAGAAGGGATAGGTAAGAAATGGACATTGACTTGGAAAGTCTTCCTAATTTTGCATTAATTAATAACCAGTAGACAAGTAGAGAAGTTTCACACCTCCAATTTTCAAACTAACAAAAATGCCAAATACTATATACTCCATGAAAATTGCGCCACCTACATAATTATAAAGGATTGCGCCACCTACATAATTATAAAGGATTGCCTGCTCACACTGCAGAGTAGATCGATTTGATTGGCAAAAGCGCTTTTCGTCTTCTAGCCATCACTTGTCGGATTATATTTTGATCAATTCGAAAATGGGAAAGATGGTGTGCACCGAGGTGGATAGCGGTTTGGATGTCAGCCCATTTTTCATAGCTCTTATTATTGCTCTTCTCTTCTTATTCATTTCATGCGTCAGTCCACCACCTCGTCGCAGATTTGTTGTTGTCACTCCATTCTAATTGAATTTTTCTCTTTTAGTTTGCTAAGTCTGTACGCGAATTGGGATTACTTTTAATAAATTCTCATCTTTTGGACGAGAATTCATGCTATCATCGTCCCTTCTCACTGCTTGTTTCCCTGATTTTATTGAGTTCAGAGATGATACCGGGAGATCTAATTTTTTACGCGTTGTTTGGATGGTTGTTTCCGGTTGTATTGCATTGTATTGTTACCCAGATACAATGTTTGTTTTGATTGTTAATATAAAACTGATTGTATCGTATTGTTAAATCCATTGTTCCGGTACAATGAAAAACCCCATTTTATGAAACAACCAAATCGGTGTAGTGGGTTTGTTCCGTATTTTCCTTTTCAATTATGCCCACACTTATTATTCTATATTTCAATTTTACCCTTTACCCTATTATTTATATTGTATTCACCAAACTAATAAGTACTTTGTCTCCATCTTCTTTCTACCGTGCAACTAGTCAACGACGTATCGTCTCTTTCCAACAAAATTTTTACAGGTTAGTTTTCATATCTTTTCTTCCTGTTGTTACCCCAGGATTAGTTTTCAGCAGAAAGGTTAGTTTTCTGCCGTGCAACTAGTCATCTCTTTTAACTAATTCCACTGTTGCTATTGTGTGTCATGTGCTTTTTGCTCATTGTTATTATGTACCATTATTGTTGGTTTTAGCTGGATACTTTTGGCTTTTAATTTTAGTTTACTGGAAAATTTGGGGGCAGGGAACAGAGACGATGCTGGTTTTGATTCACTTTGTTGAATCTTTTCAGAAATTTAAGATTATTTTTTCCATCTCTTTTCTTGTGTATTCACATGAATTATGTGTGGCTTCTGTTGTAACAAATAAATTTGCTTATATATTTTTTTGTTTACTTAATTAATTTAGTGTAATGTGATGAAATATTTGGCTAGAATTCTCTTTTTTGTACAATCCTATTAGTATGTATCTGAATTCTCCTACATACTTCATAATGTGTTCTATGAAGAAGAGTTTATTTTCGGTTCATATTTATTTTATGTAGTTAATTGGTTGATGTATCTCACTTAATTTTATTATAGATGGCTGATCGGAATAATCAAAATAATAGACAGATATTGGAACAAGTGAGCTCTTTAGCTACATATGCTGCTTGCTTAGTAGCTATTTGGTTTTGGACTTATGTACGTGAAATTGAAAATGACCAACGTACGATCACACATGATATACGACTGGAAAGTGAACAAGTTAGACATGAATTATTGAGTCATTTATTCTCAACTAAACTTTGTCGTAATATTATAAGAATGACCCCTTTAGCCTTTACCGATCTATGTGAGATGTTAGTTAGAGAGGGTGATTTTAGACCAACACTTCAAGCTACAGTTGAAGAGCAAGTTGTAAAACCACTTTACCTGTTAGCACATAATACGACAAATCACGAGTAAGCTTTTATCTTTCGATGATATGGGGAGTCGGTTAGTCGTCATTTTCATATTGTCCTGCGTGCGATCTTGGGGTTATATGAAAAATTTATTAAACAACCTGATGGCTCTCAAGTTCTTTCTGAAATTGCCGGTAGCCCAAGATTCTACTCATATTTTAAGGTGAACACAAATACAATTTTATTGAACTTTTAGCTAAATTCAAGGTTGATTACATATAATTTATTATAATAATGTCAGGATTGTATTGGTGCAATTGATGGAATATATATACGCATTAAAGTTTCACAACGTGAAGCACCCAGATACCGTGGAAGAAAAAATTATCCAATACAAAATGTATTGGCTGCATGCACATTTGATTTAAAATTCACATATGTGTTAGCTGGTTGGGAAGGGACGACATCTGATTCAAGAATCATGAAGGAAGCGTTAAATAGACAAGATCCGCTAAAACTTCGAGAAGGTAAATATTTCATATATTTATATAGGGAAAGTTAGATGTGATGAATAAATAATTAAAAATTTTACTTTTTATCTTTAGGAAAACACTACCTTGTTGATGCTGGATTGATGTTGAGAAGTGGACTTATTACGCCTTATCGTGGGGAGCGTTATCACTTGAAAGAGTATTCAAGAAATCTACCTCGAAATCCTCGTGAATTATTTAATCTGCGACACACATCTTTGCGTAATGCTATTGAACGGGCTTTTGGAGTTCTTAAAAAGAGATTTCCTATAATTTCTAGTTCAACTGAACCGTCATATGATGTTGAAACCCAAAAGCTTATTATTTTTGCATGTTGTATTTTGCACAACTACTTAAGAGGTGCAGACCCAAATGATGAGTTACTTGCACAAGTTGATGCGGAGCTTGTGAATGATAATGATGTGCATGAAGAACCACCAAATCCTAGGGAAAGTAATAATGAGTTTAGAAGGGGGGAGTTGATTAGGGATGGCATAACAGCTGACATGTGGGCTAATTATCAAGTTTAATCTTCTAGGAGAGAAAAAGTCAACGAATTTTTTCGTGTTTATTTATTTGATGTTGTTTGAAAGTAATGTCGGCTATTATTTGAATAAAATATAATTTATTTTATTTTATAACTCTTACAAGTATTATGTTTGATAAATTTTTCATTAAGTCTTATGAATATCTCTTAATTATGTAGTTATCAATATGCCGAAAAGGTCAAAGGCATCCTCAAGCGAAACAAATCTTTCAGATAACACTTCTGTTTGTATTTGGTCAAATGCTATGGATGATGCCTTAATTGAAGCATTCTATCATGAGCACACATTTGGAAACAGGGTTGGTGGAACTTTTACTGTACACGCGATTGACAATATAGTGAAAGAGATGCAATCAAAATTTCAAGATAAAGTTTTTACCAAGGAGAGAGTTCATAACCGAATGAGAAATATTAAAATAAAATTTAGCAAGTATTATGACACATTTTAAAATGGGATGAGCGGGTTTACATGGGATTCCAACACAAATATGTGGAATGCTGAATCTAAAGTATGGGTCAATTGATATAGGTACATTTGTTTTTAGCAGTTTTGTTCTTTATTTGCATTTTATACTCCCTCTGTTCCAGTTTATGTGAACCTATTTCCTTTTTGGTCCGTTCCACAAAGAATGAACCCTTTCTAAATTTGGTAACAATTTAGCTTAAAGTTACAACTCTACCCTTAATGAGAAGCTTTTATAACCACACAAATACTCTGGGCCCCATTTGGACTTGTTTAAGACCACAAATTCCAAAAGTCTTCATTTTTTTCTTAAACTTCGTGCCCAGTCAAACAGGTTCACATAAATTGGAATGGAGGGAGTAATGTTTATCTCATTTTCTGCATTATTATATTGTACTTTTTTTGTGCAGGCTAAGCCTGAAGCTGCTGAATGGAGAAACAAGCCGATTAGAAATTATGATAAGCTAATTGAGCTATATGGAAGGGATAACACTATTGGAAAGCAAACTGAGACTGGAGCAGATATGGCAAAAAGGGGTGCTCGTGATAATTTGAGAAAATCAAGTGATAGTTCATTGACTATTGATGAGGTAGATGAACTAATTTCCATGAATGCTGTCTCTTTGAAAAATATCGAGGAACATGGACAACATGAGCAATATCAATCAACTCAGGAAGCACGTAAATCCAATGCATATTCAGAGGTACCGACTTCTAGAAGGAATAAAAAATCTAAACATGATCATCTTGAAGGCATGACTGATATGTTGAGAGGTGAGATGAATAATTTGGCTAATGCAATTAATAGCCTTTCAACTATGCCACCTATTCCTGAGAGTGAGATATGAAAAATGGTACAAGTGTTGGATTTAAAGCCTAGTATGCACGAGAAAGCCTATATATTTCTTTGCAAACATGCAGATTTGTGTTGCACACTAATTGGGTATCCATTGGAAGACCACAAATTTCTTTTACTGACCTTGATGTCGTCACCTGGCAATTGAGTTAGACTAAATAGTTTTGTGCTTTAGCTATTGAGGATTTTATAGACTTTGACTAGATCGGTATGAATTTTATATGTCATGTTGCTAGAAATTTTTATTATATTATACACTTTAAGTTATGGATTATTTACCACATTAAATGTCAGGAAATCAAGGTCCGTTGTCTACTCTGTTTTGATGGGGCAATCAAAAGAGATTGACTGTGGATAACTGAGTTAGAAATGGAGTTCACATTATTCCACTTCGNGTGTGTGTATGTGTGTGTGTGTGTGTATGTGTATGAGTGTGTGTATTTTTTTTATTTGTGTATGTATAGATTTTGAGAGTTAATTAATGGTTTGATAAATGGGGTAGGGATTGGACTAGTTAAAATTGAGCCAAAAATTGGCCCAAACTTTGAGCCCATTTAGTCCAAATCCGGTCCACAAGGGGCTGCCAGGGGAGGGTCCAAATGACGTAGTTTTGATCAAAACTACGTCGTTTCATTTAGTAATCTGAAGACTTGATCTCATCCATCCATAATCTTTTATCCAACGTCTCTCATTTATTCCCTTTGAGGTATAAAATCCTTTTAAAATCAGATTTTTTTCCATTTTTCTCTAAAAATTCAAACTTAGACCCATCTCTTCATCTCTCCTCTTTCTCAAGCCGCCGCCCGCTGCCCCTATTCCGCTGGCCGGAAATCGCCACCGCTGGAAGAACCCCAAACCACCCCAAAATTTCACCCTTTGTTCCTCTCAACCTTTTCTTTCCATATCTTCAAACAAAATCCTTTAAAACCCCCTCAAAATTCACGAATTTTAGATTTAGGAAAGCTCTAGCCTCATTTTTTGTGAAATCCGTGAATATTGAGCCACCCCCTTCACCCAGCGCCTACATAGAAGTATATAGCTCGACAAGAGCTATCATTTGGCATTGGTCTTAACCCGAAACTCCGGCGACTGCCACTGCCCGCCGCTGCTGCTTCTCCATCTTTTTATTTCTTTTTCGGCCAAAGGCACTTGTTTCCTTTTGGCAAGACGCTGGAATCTATTAGTTTAGCGTCTTCCAAAAGGAAACATATGCTCCCAAGGTCGGACAGCCACCTCTTCACATCCCCGACATCTTCTCATGGATCGAACAGTGTCAAATGCCCTTGATTGGTATAAACCCTAATTCCTTTTTATCTTTTCTGATTTTTCTGTTTGCTTTTGTAATTAGTATTAGTTTTAAGGTTTAATTTCTATTCTTGTTATTTTTATTTTTGTGCAAATGAGCTAGGGTAGTATCGGTTTTCAATTACATGTTACTTTTTAAATGTGAATTTCAGTTCTTCGACCTAGCCGGTCGAGTAGTTCGTTATTGTGTGTTAGTTCTGATTTTTGGTTCTTCGACCTAGCCGGTCAACTATTTTGTGCGGATTTGATTAAGCTTGAACATTCAGTTCTTCGACCTAGCCGGTCGACCTTGTTTTGTTTGTCCGTTAGTTCTGATTTTTGGTTCTTCGACCTAGTCGGTCAACTATTTTGTATAGAGTTGTTAAGTCTGAATTTTTAACTTTTCGACCTAGCCGGTCGAATAGTTAAGTCTTTATGTTAATTTCATGAAAAAACCAAAAGATTAGTTCACTTGTTTATATAGTTAGTCGTATATTTAGGTGTTATTAATCGTGATAGTTTAGCGATGTTCGTTTAATTTCTGTTTCAAGCAATAGCTTGTGAAATTCAGTTGTTGTTCCATGTTAGTTTGCACAAATCGAATTCATTCTAATCTAGTTTGTCTAAATACTTAGTTCGATTGCATTTTGAATCTTGTTTCTACTTTGCTAGTTCATATTTGGTTGGAGTTTGAGTGTATAAGCTGAATTTCAGTCATGTATAGATAAAAGCTGAAAACTTGAGTACGTGTTTGTTGGGGATTTTACTGTTTAAACATGCTGGAAATGGAACTGCTCTGTTTTGTGTTAGAATTTGGTGAAAAAATGACTGTTTTGGCACACAAAAGTTAGTCCTTTTGGACAGATTTTTGGTGAATCAAAATCTGTCCAAAAGGACCTATTTTTTCCTACTTAAAGAGGTCATTCTTTCACACTAAACATACATAATCTATCACACAGCTGCTAGATGTTTTACACACTAAAAACCCAACTTTGAGAGTAAAAATCAACAGCTAAACATATCCAATAGAAAGCTGAAAATCAAGAAAGTAAGCTGAAATTTGAGTGCTTTTGTGTGAGATTTCTGAAAAAAAACCTTTCAAGAAACTAAAGTTATTAGAGTTAGTCCTGGGATTCTTTCTTCTTTGAATTTGTCGGGTCTCAAGGTGCTTCTGGGTCATTTTCTTGGGCTGAAATCTGCTGCTGATTTGTTGTTGTTACTGCTGAGAATGTTAGTCGCTTTAAACCAAAGTTCTTCACTGTTGGTTAACTTCTGCAACTAGGTACTCTTCTAGTTCTCTTTCTTAATGCAATTTTATTCAGCTGAAGTAAAGTCATGAATGTGTTAATCATATTTTGAAACTGCCTCACCATATTTGTCGGATGTTTGGCTCATAAGTGTATGAATAGAGTGCTTAACTTCACGAATCAATATTTCATTGTCATATTTAATGTCATTAAGTCTCAGTTTCTTCTAAAGTTTAAAGCTGCTTTGATTGTTTAATTGCTAAGGGGCAAGGGAAGCAATATACTGACTTGTGTCATGTCGTAAATGGATATATGAACGCTTTAAGCCTTCAGGTGATATGATGTTGTTGAAACTTCTTTTTCGTTCCCAGTTCGTGTATTGCGTTGTATACTACACATCGGTGCTTAAGCCGAGCTAGAATTTTCTTGTTATCTTCAAGTTAGTATTGAAATCCATCCAAATGGGTCGGATTCCTTAAAAGAAAGTTTCTGGATTTCATTTCTAATATCTGAAGTTGTAATAGAAAATTTTCCTCAAGTCACTAAGGCTAAGCTTCATCAAGTTATATTTATTTCCTTCCCCATGTAGTATTTTTAGTTGGTTTCTTTAGTTGGGTGCTCTCTCACTCATCTTCGGTTTTCTATAATTTGGTACCTTAAAATATTTTACTGTATTAGTTTATTTGTTTTATTTTAAATTGGATTCTTTATTAAAAGCATGATTCATTTTTGCTTGGTACATGCAAAGTTGGTAAAATTTGCAGAGCAAAGCACTGCAAAACCCAAAGTGTCATATATATATATATATATATATCCATTCCATATTGAAATCCATAGTGGTGAAAACCTTCCTCCCATACTTTGGGATCTGCGCTTCTGCAAAAAACAACTCACCTTACCTGTGTAAATATTTTCAACTACACTTGTTTAATTTCTTATCCACTAAACTAGTTTTGAAATTCTTAAATTATTACTATTTGAAATGTGCCAATTGGCTCTTCTTTTTCTTCAAATCTTCAAGATGTTGCATCTTCCTTTAATCAGTAACTCACATGATCTTAGTATCTTACCCACTGCCAGTGCCCCGTTCTATTTTATTCAAATATATTCCTAGACATTTTACTATTTTAGTATTA